ATTGTTCTCTCTAGGGTGTGTGTCTACTTGAAGTAAATGTTTAACTCACATGCCTGTACATTGTTTGGCTGGCAACCACAGGTGTGGGTTCAATTCCAGACCTGAAGGGCATCTAGGGGCCATAGTCCCAGTGGTTCCACCAGGCTCTGTTAGACCAGCAAACCTCGTCCTCACCGAGAAGGTACTTTCTGATCACAGTAACTGTCTGAGTTTTCACTCTTGCAGCCACTATTTTGTGATACATACAGGATTCATGAGCGGGAACGATTATGCCCACTCTACCCTTCTATGTAGGTCTGGGAGCCTTTTATTTATTCATTTTTTAAATATTTTATTTATTTGGATAAATATTTACAGAGCACATTTTGTTTCATGATGTTGGTTGCAATCCCCTCAATGTAATGGCATTCTTCCCACTTCCTCCTTCGTTTCCCCATTTCCATTCATCGTTCTTTCCTGCCCCTTCCTGCCTTCTGAGCTTTGTTTTGGGGCAAATGCTGCCCTGTTAGTCTCTTATGTTTATTATTCTGAGAAGGACATTTCTCACAAGTGTTATTGTTCACTTTTAGTACTGTCAGTTGTTTGGCTGCAAGGTGATTCCCTGGGATGGGTATAGTCACAGATTTAAAGGGTGTCTCTAAAGGTCACTGTCTTGGGGGTTCCACCAGAAAAAGTCTGGTGTTTTCTATGATTTTGAATTTTGTTCTACATTTCTCTCCTACTCTATCCAGGACCTTCCATTGTCATCCTGATCAGAGCAGTTGGTAGTGGTAGCCAGGCACCATCTGGTTCTTCTGGTCTCAGATTAGTGGAGGCTGTGGTTCACCATGGACCATAGTCCTTTGGACTAATTGCTTCCTTGAGTCTTGGATTTTCTTCAGTATTCTTAGTTCCAGATGGAAGAGACCAATAGCATCTTAGATGGCTACATATAAGCATTTAAAACCCTAGTCACTACTCACTGGATATAGAACATTATCCCCAGAGACTATGGTCCTAAGCCCCCAAGTGACTCAGTCCCTAAAGGTATATGGTCATGACTAAGAAGTTTGCGTACCTTTGCTCCTGGGAGCTTTTTAATTGATTTCTCAGTGTCCATACATCTGCTTTTACAGTGTTGTATAGTTATTATTTGCTATATGCCAGTGCAAACATTCCAGCTTTTTTACTGTCAACTAAAGTATAGTTCACAAGGAAAAAGAAAATTTTTTTTTTAGTTTTTACCTACTTCACTGGCTAATATAAAAAAGTCAGTCTATCAGAAGAACCGAAAATTTACAGCTATGGCCACCTGCTTCTCCGCTCAGAACGTTTAGAGTGTCTCTCCCTGCTGCCTTTTTTGTTCTGCTTCAAGGGATTTTGGCTAGTTCCCTGCTGTTAGGACTTGAGTAAGGTAATCTCTGTCACACTGCTCCCTTAATAACTAATTTGTTAATATGTTTAAAGTGATATTCTTTACTGTTGTTGTTGTTGTTAAGTGCCGTCGAGTCGTTTCCGACTCATAGCGACCCCATGCACAGCAGAACGAAACACTGCCCGATCCCGCGCC